ACTGAAACTCTCTCTCACCTAGTACAGAATCTAACTCAAAATGGATCAAAAGTCTTAATATAAGACTTAAAGTTTCAAAAATTACCAGAAGAAATATAGGGGAAACACTTCAAGATACTCACACAGGCAAAAATTTCCTGAATAGGACTCCAATAGCTCAGGAAAAATCTCTGCACAGCAAAGGAAACAATCAACAGTATCAAGAGACAATCTACAGAATGAGAGAAAATCTTCGCCAACCATTCATCTGACAGAGGACTAGTAACCAGAATACATATTTAAAAAAACTTAACAAAAGAATTAAAAAGTGGGCAAATGATCTAAATAGATACTTCTCAAAAACAATACAAATGGCCAATAAAAACATTAAAAAAATGTTCAGTATATTTAGCCATTAGGGAAATCCAAATCAAAACTGGTCTAGTAACTAACTCATCCACTACTTATATAACATAAAAGTCTGTTTAGGTTTGAAAAACTAAACAGCTACAAACTGAGATATTATTATGTGATTCTATGTCACCCCAGTCAAATGGCCATTATCAAAACAAAAAAATAACAAATGCTGAAAAGAATGTGGAGGAAAGGAAACTTTTATGTGTTGTTAGTGGGAATGTAAATTAGCACAATCAGTAAGAAAAACAATATACAGGTTCCTCAAAACCTAAAAATAAAACCATCATATGATCCAGCTACTACTCCTGGGTATTTATTCAAAGGAAATGAAGTCAGCATACAAGAGATATCTGCATACCCATGCTTACTGCAGCACTAATTCACAATAACAAGGATAAGGAAATCAACCTAGGTGCTGGCGCCATTAATGGATGGGTAAAGAAAGTGTGCTATATATGCACAAAGGAGTATTATTCAGCTATAAAGAATAAAACTGTTATTTGCAGAAACATAAATAAAAATGGAAGAAGCAAAATAAGCTAAACACAGAAAGACAGTGTCACTTATTTTCTCTCACATGTGGAAATTAAAAAAAAAAGAATTACCTGAAAATAGAAAAGAGATTATTAGCGAAAGGGAAGGGGACCTGAGGTAAAGGGAAATGAGGGGTACAAGACAAGGTAGAAGGAAGCGTGGACATGAGCAAAGTGTGATATATGCATGCATGAAAATGTCATACCCATTAAGTTGTGCAATTAATATGCATGAACTATAATATTTTTAAAAATTATATTAATTATATTCAATAAAAAGAAATTTCCTTTAAAACATAATAATAAAAAATTTTTAAATAAGTGAAAAAAGAAAAATGTAAATTTAAAGGCAAGCCTAAATCTGAAAATTCATTAATATAAAAGGCAAGTAATGATTTATTAAATAACATTCGAACAGCAATGATTTAACTTTTAAAATTAGATTCTTATCTAGGAAGGGCTTCCAAAATAAAGAAAAATTCATGAATAGCTGAAGACAAAAGCTATCTACATTAAGCCATGGAATAGTTAGTGGACCACAGAAGAAGGAAACAGATGTATATATCTGCAATATATGATGTCTACATTGCTATACTAGATTACAAGTCCATTAAACATCTGTGTCCAATTTTGGAGGGTATGTTCCTTTTTTGTCCTTCCTTGTTGAAAATACTTTTAAAAGGCAACCAAAAACAACACAAAACAAAAGCTATGCTATAGCTGAAAAATGGCTCATTCTAAATTTCTGTATCTTTACTAAACTATGTACATTTTAATATAAAAATCTGGTCTTTGAAAATGTGGCTAGAGATTGAAAATAATCAAGTATCTACCAATTGCTCATTGTTTCAGCCAAGTAGGACTATCTAAAAAATGTTGGATAAATTTCAGAAAGCATACTTGCCCCTTGTTTAGTTGTATAATTAGTATTTTTCAACTTTTCAACCCAGAAATCCTAATGAAATACCAAAATATAAGGAGGACTTATAGAATTTAGAAAATACCATAAATAATATTTACACTCCACGAAGATGATTAACAATATTCTGGTACAAGCTTTCTTTAAGCCTTAAATGCAAATTTCACTAGAGAACTAAGGGCATTCAGAATTTTGATTGCCATAAATTACAGTGTCTCATGCTGTACCTAAGTCATTTAATACAATGGCTAGATTTTCACTTAACTTATACTTATACAAAATTGCAGAGAAGAAGATAATGCCAATATTTAAGTTACCCCTTTATGGATAGGAATAAGGGAAGTTCTTGGGTATCTCTTCTTGAATACACTGATCTGATTTCCTTAGTGAAGAGCTTTCGTAAACACCCTAGCTTCCAAACAACCAGCTCCATTCATCTCATGTGGTGGTGATTCTGTACTCTATATCACCATGACTTTCTAATAAAGGCAGATATCATACCTCACTGGCTCTCCAAAGTGAAGGGTGCCCTTTAACATCAGAGTCTAACTAGTACAACAGAAATTACAGACTATTTTAAACAGAGGAAAATTAATGCTGGAAGCTGATTACAAAGGAGATTAAAAAAAAAATGTCATCAAGAGAGACAACCAAATCACTGTCAAAGGAGTCCAGAACTAAGATCAGTGGATGTTGTAACTATGACAGGCCTGACCATTGGGAACTGAAGTCACAAAAGGAAAAGCAACACTAACAGAATTAAAATGAGCAGAGGAATGACTTGGCTCCCTCTTCCTTAAATCTTCCCTTTGAGTTCCTAAAACCTAGGGGGGAGAATTCGCTGTTACTAAAGCCTAGAAAGGCAATGAGTTTCCCTTTGAGTTCCTAAAACCTAGGGGGGAGAGTTCCTGTTATTAAAGCCTAGAAAGGCAATGAGTGCTCCATGTAAGTACAGAAGAAAGCAGGAAAAGGGTATAAAATGGATCTGAGGGCAAAAAAGTCCAAGACCATTATGACTTTCAATAAAGTTCCCATCATAAAGATATTCTCGTTAAGTATGCTCCATCCAGCTAATCTCTCACTTCCGTTGTTAACCAAATGACTCTAAGACTTCAATTGCACATTAATACTTATGGATCGATCATCTTTCAGATTTTGAAAGAAAAACTCCAAGAAAATCAATATCTAGAAGCGTAATTCTGCCAGGCAGGATAAGAATAATCCAACTAGTTAGATTTATAAAAATGTTCAACTGAGGTAACAGGAAATTTGTTCTCATCTCTTTGCTTATAAAGTCTAACTTGACTAATATAATAGATGCATTTTGCAAGAAAAATAAAATAGTCCCCAGAGAAATGATGTCAGACAACTTTTAGCATAAGTTATTTGAAACTACTTCTAAGTAAATGTTTCAATTGTGCTTTCTCCAAAGCATCTGTTTGGTATAGTCTTTAAAGAGCTGTTGGAATTGTTAACTATTGATTCAATTTGTATCTTCTCATTCAACTCAAAAGTGCTGATACAAATTCTTTGCTATGATCATGAAGAATAAAAATATTGTTATTAAGAACTGGTATTTAAAAAAAATCACAGAGAAAAGGGAACTCACACACTTTTGGTGTAAGCAAGTACAGTCATTAAGGAATAGTATGAAGGTTTCTCAAAAAACTAAAAATAGAATTATCACACAATGGAGCTATCCCACTGCTGGGCATATATCCAAAGGAAACTAAATCAGTACATCCAAGACATACGTGTACTCCATGTTTACTCGTTTACTATTCACAATACCTATGCATGAGTAAGGAAGATGTATATGCACACAACGGAATGCTATTCAGCCATAAAAAAGAATGAAATCCCATCATTGTGCAACATGGATGGAACTCAAGGACATGTGTCAAATGAATGAGTCAGGTACAGATAGAGAAACACCATATCTTCTCACTCACTTGTGGAAACTAAAAAATTTCACTTAATTTAAGCAGAGAGTAGAATAGTGGTCTCTAGAGGCAATAAAAGGTAGGGGAGATGAGGAGTACAAACAGGTTGTTACCTAATACAGTTAAATAGGTAGAATGAATACTAGTGTTCTGTAGTTCAGTAGGGTAACTATAGCTTACAATAACTTATTACATATCACCACAAAGAAATTATGAATGTTTGCAGAAATGGAAATGCTTCTAATTACCATTACATATTGTATACATTTGTCAAATTATCACAATGAGTCCTATAAAGATGGACAATCAGAAAAAAATAAAGAAAAAAACTCATTGCACTACTTCACATATAAAAAAGTACCTGCCAAGAACAGGGATTACACTTGGCTCTAAATTACAATGAACTACTATGTTAAATTAGAACATTTCAAGAACTCCCTAAAATTTCTACTTTGCTAGAATTTTTACCATGTATACTTAAAATTTATAGAAAATTATAAAGTAAAACTTGTTTGTAAGTGTTTTGATAAATTTGTTTCATGAAAACATATGTAAAAAACAGAGCTTTAAAAGAAAGAACTCTCCAAAAGTTTAAGAAATCTTTGCTTATTGGAAATTCTCTTATATCTTCATCAAACTGGCATAACAAAAAGTCCAATTACTTGGTAAATAGCATGAATTTTAATTTATATGCACTTCAAAATAAATACTCTGCCTTGACTCATGATTTTAATTGTAATCTAGAGCTATGTAACATACTCAAAATTTACTATTTTAATAATAGCAGTATATTATATTTTATGTGATAAAGGACACTGATTAAATAGACTAATGGATCACAAAGATAGAACATCTGGCATGATAATAATACTGAAAATATCATGTGAATTTTGATGCAATAGTCTAGAACATCTTTATTAGTCCTTGTAAACTTTCAGGCAAATATTTAGGTCTTCATAAATTTAGAAAGTAGAAAAATAGTAATTTTCAAATTATGATTTTAAAGGTAAAAATGTAACATTCTTTTATAAAAAGATAGTGAATGGAGAGTAAGTGCTACTTTAGAATAAACTATCATATTGTTGCTATTTTTAAAATACTATCATCATTCTGTCATTTTTCAAATATAATTTAATGCAACAAAACTGCAACCTTATTTATTACTTCTCTATTTTACCAATGGAAGTAGCTTCTACTATGAACACTCACCATCCACTCAGATATAATAACATCCACTTTTTCTATAGGAAGATGAACTTCTTCAATTCTTCCTTTAATTAGTATGATAGTATCTTCCAGTTTATTCAATCTGAAAATTATCATAATAAATTGTATTAGGATGTGAAAAAGATTCTGGAAGCTAGTTAAATTACATAAAATTTTTGCCAACTATTCATATTATTTTGAGAAACAAAAAAGTATGTTCAGAGTTGATTTATCCCCTACGTCTTATAATTACTGTTTGGTCACTCCAGGAATGCCCAAAAATGCCTCTGGTTAATTTTGGCAATACACAGTACTCATAAGGAAATCTTCAGCCTGAGAAAATTCTCAATGTTATTAAGAATACATGCTTTTATATAGATCTTAATAGCATCCAACATTTTCCTGTAAAATTTTTCCCTTGGAAAGTCATATACATTAAATATCCTTCCACCATTGAACTTGGGTGATCCTAAGGAAATTTAGAGAGAGAATTTTAATTCTGATGATTGTGTCTTAATAAGGAAAAAAGGAAGTGTGGCGGAGACAGACCAATACTGACATTAAAAGTTGGTACAGAAGAAAGCAATTTGTCATAGTGTTGAGGAAATGAGAAGGCAGAAGCCTTTACATTAACGTCCAGGTCCTCTCACACTTGTCAGTTAAGTGACCTTCACTAAGTATTTTAATAATTTCACTGGGCCTGTATGTTCACAATAAAAGAGAATGACATACCTGCCCTACTTACTTCACAGGCTTTTTGGGTATCAGATATTTGTGAAAGCTATGTATACATCTCAAGCACTGTATACTATATAAATACACGTTGTAAAAAACTTAAAATCCTCTCCCAAATTATTGGACCTTGCCCAATGGCATACATTAGATATTTTTATGTTTAATCATAAGCTTAGCACATATTTTCCAACATCTCTTCTAGTATTTGAAACAAAGAGATAACTTAAGGAAACTAAAGTAAGGCTAAGTTTTTCCTTTCCTTTTTTTTTTTGCCAAGGAGATACCCATCCCCAACTTCATCAAGGCATTATGTACACACAATTATATGCATTCATTTTTAAGGATACATTATATCGAATTTTGAGAAACACTAACATGTGCATGCCTGCCACCACATCTATAGAGATTATTTCCATCTCCCTGAAAAGATCCAGAAATACCTCTTCTCAGAAAATCCTCCCATCTACAACCACTGATTTTTTTTCTTTCATTACCTATTAGAATAATTCATATTTTATAGAGGTCTGTAGTTACAGGATCATACTAAATGTACCTTTTTGTGCCTGCTATCTTTCAATATATAAGATACATTTTAGATTTATGTATTTTTTGTGTGTATCAGTAGTTTGCTTCCTATTATTAGTGAGTACTCTACTGCATGGATAAACTACAATTTTGTTTACCCACACCTATCGATGGAATTCTGAATTGTTTCTAACTTTGGGGTCTAACTGAATAAAGCTTTATAAACACTGGGATACAAACAGAATCACTGTACCAAATGGTAGTATATACCTAACTTTTTAAGAAAATGCTCATTTGTTTTACAGAGCACATATATAATTTTATATTCCTAATATGTGCATTCCTGTCTCCACATGCCTGTAACACTTATTAATGTTCATCTTTTAAATTTTAATTGTGCAGCAAGATCCCAAGTACAAGATAAACTCTATCTTCCTAATAACCAATTATTGTTTTATGTGCTTGCTGGCCATATTCCCACATTTACTTTTCTTCATTTTTTTTTTTTACCAGATTAGTATCTATTGAAACAGTACTGAAAAATTTTGTTGGAACAATATCACTAACCAACCAATGGAATTACTTTGGCATCTGTCCAAAACCAGCCATCTAGGTGTGGATTTATTTCTGGACTTTGAATTCTGCACCCACACTGACTGCTAGAGGGATTCATACACTCTTTTCAGCAGCACTCAACTTTTTCTTCAATAGAAAGCTTTGGCTTTAAAACAACTTAATGATTCGAAGATGAACATCCAGACTAACACAAAGGTGATATTCCAATCCTGTGCTTTTCTGGCTTGCTCAACAGGCCAAGGTGAGGGGAGAAGACGATTTGCCATCTCTAGTTAACTTTTCTGGAGGCCCCTGCTTATCTGCAGTACAATTCAGGCTATAAATTCACAGACTGTGTTTCAGAAAAAAGGAATTAATGGGAGGAAAGAAAACAGAGGGGGACAAAACAATAACCAGCCCAATAACAGGGGCTATTCAGATGATTTTTGAAAAAGCATGTGAAAGAGAGGAATTATGTGGGGTGTCTATGAAGGAATTATTAACAAGCTTTGCAGTGAATATTTCAAATCCTACTGTTCATTAGGGGTTACACAGGCATATTATATGCCTAAATGATTACAGAAAACAATAACATGAACAATATCTGAGAAATACATAGCAGGGAGATACTGACCAAGGTCAGAAGATAGACTGTGGAGAAAGAAATTAAAATAGCTGATCTTCGGGGACTGGTTGCTGGGGGAACATTTATCTCCCAGGTGAATTTAATATTTAAAGTGACTTAATATCCTTGCAGCATCTGGGAGAAGGTTGAAAATAATAACAATAAACTTTGATATATTTTAATTTTCAGTGTGTTTTGTGTTCTTTACAGAAATACAACTGATTTTTATGTTATTTATGTATTCAGTATACTGATAGTTTTATTACTGTATTAACTTGTTTTTAGCTTTTCTTCCTAAGATCTACATTTATAAACACAGCATTTTTGAGTAAGAACAGTTTTGTTTCATTTCCAATTCTTAAATTTTTCTTTTTATCATCTCATTGCATGAGCTAGGACTTAAAGTGTTAGATGGGAGAGAAGTGATGGCTTGTATTCCTGTCTTGTTCTTGAACTTAAGAGAATGCTTTCAGTAGTTTATCAAGATGTTATAGGTTCTATTTTCATAGATACTATATGTAATTTTAGGACATTATAGCTCTTGTTTTCTAAGGTTTTAAATACATAGCAGATATGCTGAATAGGTAATGAATTTTAGCTGCAAATATTGAAATGATCTCAACAGATTTTTCTGGTTGATATTCTCATATTTAATCAACTTTGTATTCCTGGGAGAAACTACCTTCCAATATATTGCCCTCATAGCTTGTTTTCTTTCTTCCTCATTTTTTTTTCTCGGTGTTAAGAGGTTGAATCCAGAGCTTCCTGCACACTAAGCACTCATTCTACTAATGACTATACTCTCAGCCCATGTTTATTAAAATATTTTTTTACTTGTCAATGTACCTTTACTTTATTTATATGTGGTGCTGAGAATGGAACCCAGTGCCTCATACATACTAGGAAAGTACTCTTCCACTGAGCTACAACACCAGCCCTCAGCCCATATTTTAATTAGGATTCTCATATATATGTTCATGAATGAATAACCTGTGATTTTTCTGCTCTACTGCCTTAAAATGGTTTTGTTATCAGGGGCCCCATATATTGATGATTTCTTTTTTAAAATGTTTTTTTGTTTTCTGTGTTTTTTAAAAAATATTTTCTTTTAGTTGTAGACGAATACATAGCTTTATTTTTTATTTATATGTTTTTATGTGGTGCTGAGGATCAAACCCAGGGCCTCATGCATGGGAAGCAAGCGCTCTACTACTGAGTCACAACCCCAGCCCTGATGACTAATTCTTGACAAAAATGACATGCAAGTAGAAAGGAAAGAAGGATCAGGACAAATAGTTCATTTACACAGAATATAAAGGTGGAATAATGAGAGAACAAACCTGAACCACTACTTCCTAAACAAAAGCCCATGGTTGTAGATTATAGACCTAGGTGTAAAAGGCCCAATTATAAATCATTTATAAATAAATACACTCTCTATAACCTCAGAATAGGTAAATATTTCTTACTCAAATCACAAATAATAACAACAATAAATAAGAATGTTGCTAAATAAGAACTGAGAATTTTATTTCATCAAAAGATAATATGAAGACGGTGAAGATAATCAAGAATAAGACTTTTGTATTATAAAAAATCCATATACAACTCAACTCCAAAATATGTAATAGATTATCCACAGATAAAGAAGAAAAAGACACAACTCAAAAGAAACCTAAACATAAGGAAATGAAAATGGCCAATAATCACATGAAAAGGTAATCAATCTCATTAGCAATTACAGAAACAAAAATTAAAATTGCAATGTGTTACTGCTACATAAGCAATTAGAAAATGTTTAAAAGGTAGAGTATAACAAACACAACTATTATAAACTACTTGTTTAAGTATATATTGGTATGTCTACTTTAGAAAATAGGCTGGTAACACACAGGAAATTTGAAGACATATGTAACCTAAAGGCTGCAATTGTACTTGTAAGAATACACCTCATAGAGTTTGCATCAGGGCACACATACAAAATGTTCATAATAGAATTTTTTATAGTTACCTATCTGACAGAGAAAGGGAAGTAGATGTGGGTAGGATTCTGAAGTGGTAGCATTGTTCTATCTCTTGCCTTGAATAATAGTTATCACATATTTATTTATTTTATTATTTATGCATACTTATGTATATTAATGCCCACTTATGCTTTTGTTTATATCTGTTATATTTCATAGATAAAAAGAAAAAATGCTTACATTTGAGTTTTCAAAAGGTATTTATAAAACCCTGGTGAAATTACTACAGTTACTTGTTATTTACTAAAATAATTTTAAAGACTTTAACAAATATATATACTTCAAAGAAAAACAAAAAGCACAGTTCTTAAAAGAGAAAAATATTCCATTGCCTAGAAATACCTTCTGAATGGTTTTGCTGCAACAAGATCTGTGTTGTGTAAAAGGCCATCTGCTCAGGCTGTTTACTGCCTACTACAAGTCATAATCCTACTTGCATCAGTAATTACTTGTTGTTCAAATATAAATAAAAAGAAAGATCATGATTTCAGAGAAAACGGGAAAAAAAGACAAAGCCCAACAATTCCCAATAATATGGATTACAATAACTCAACGAAAATCATCCACATAGATAACTTCTTTCATAAAACTGTTAATCTTTATTACCATGTGATTTTTTCCCATTCAAGAAAAATTATA